CTCTGCCTCCTGGGAAATGTAGTCCCGCCCCTCTTACTGCACGCCGGGAGTGGTAGTATGCCGACCACTTCAGTGCGCCTGCGCCCTGCCGAATTCCGCAATGGCCGCTGGGAGATGTAGTCCCGCTTAGCCTCTGTCTTCAGGGTGTAAGGACTAAGAAGTTATCGGGGCTTTACTTCTGGGAAGTAAGAATTTGAGCGAGGTCCCAGGAAGCTTCTTTCTTAGCGACTCCCAGCGGGTGCCCAGAAGCTAAAGCATTCTTTATCTGAAGTGCCATGTTCCAGCCCTCTGTCTAGTACTACTTTTTCCAGTAACTTCCATGCCTCAGTTTACCCATCGCAAAATGTGCTGTTCGGCCAGCACATACAGAAGCATTTGAAAAACCAAGATCACTGTTCAGAAACAAGGGATCTGATCCCGTCAGAGCCAGAGAGGGCTTCCATAAGGCCCTTCTTCCCCCCTTAGTTTCCACACAGTAGTTTTGTTTTTCATGGGTTTTTTAACTCTTATTTTTAAAAACTTCTTTCTCCTCAAGCCCCTCACTAGTGACTTTAGAGGGTCGAAAGCCTCTCTGGTGCTGCAAGTGAAGGATATAATTCAGTGGGTAAGTGATTTGGTGCTGAAGTCACACAGGGCTCAGTTCAGATCCTGACTCTGCTACTTACACTAGCTGCCTGGACCCTTAAGGCCTCATTTACTCATGTATAAAATGGATACGGTTACTCCATTTATCCAAACATTGAGGGCCTGTCATGTGCCAGGCACTGTACTAGACATAATGTGTAAGGAGAGAAACAGACATGGATCCTACTCTCAAGGAGTCTATAACCAGTAGGGCTTATTGTGAAGATTCAATGAAAAAATTACAGCACTTAGTACATAATACTCAATTAATGGAAGCTGTGATGACTGTTTCCACTCTTGTTCTCCTCCATAGAGAGGGAACTGAAAGCAGTGGCTAAGGAGAGCAGGTACCATAATAAAGGACTGCCAATGGCTACCCTCACTGTCATTCTCTTTCCAAGTCCTCAGTCTAACAAGCCCTCGAAGTCTAGACCAGAGTTTCTCAACCTCTGCATTATTCACATTTTGGACAAATAATTCAGGAGGGTTGGGGCGGGGGTGGACTTGTGCTTTGTAGGATGTTCAGCAGCATTCCTGGCCTCTACCCACTAGATGCCAGTAGCACACTACCAACCAAAAAGGTCTCCAGACATTGCCAAATGTCTGTCGGGGCCCAAAATCACTTCCAGTTGAGAACCATTGGTCTAGGGAGAGGAAGGGCAAGAGGGTCAAAACTGTTGAATGCTCTAGGAGCAAGCTGGGAATTGTGTAAACATCCATAACTTTTTCCCACCCTGATTATTTTAACCTGCTTGTGGACATCCAAAATAACAGGAAGCTCTTGGTGAGGGGAGAATTTCCCCTTCCCTGTGGTCATTCCAGTGGCTACTGCAGAAAATATCATCTCAGAATGAAAATCTTACTCTCAAAAATGTTATGAGATTCATGCTGCATTTTAATGCCCTCTCTCTTCCACTCTTTTTTTTCAAAGTGAACAAGATTCCCAATGAGGTCAAAAGCTGCAAAATTATGTCGGCCCTTTTAAATATTACATTTGGCACCACATTTAAGAACCAAATAGGTGTTCCATCAAATGCAGGGAGACCCAAAATGAAGGTGTTCACAAGCCACAGGAGAGTTAATTTTGCAAAGACTTTGAAACAGGGACTTTGCTTCTTCTGCTGTTGGTTAGGTCACTTCAGATACGGGCTTTCCCACCGGATATCAATAACTCTCAACAAGGGATACATTGGGTAAGGGGAAGAATGGAATTATTTAAAAGAAAATAGCTATTCAACAAGAAGACCTGTTGGTTGAGGGCAAAAATTATTGGTTGAAAGTTAGTTTCTACCACTTGTAGACTCTTAATCTTTAGATCCCAAATTGCTAAGGGCTACTCCAGGATTTATTTATTTATTTATTTATTTATTTAAAAAAATTTTTTTTCAACGTTTATTTATTTTTGGGACAGAGAGAGACAGACCATGAACGGGGGAGGGGCAGAGAGAGAGGGAGACACAGAATCGGAAACAGGCTCCAGGCTCTGAGCCATCAGCCCAGAGCCTGACGCGGGGCTCGAACCCACGGACCGCGAGATCGTGACCTGGCTGAAGTCGGACGCTTAACCGACTGCGCCACCCAGGCGCCCCAACTCCAGGATTTAAAAGAGGTAAATTTATGACCAATAAAAGTCTCCCCAATGGGAGGTAAACCATGTGACATGCAGTCAAGAAAAAAAAGTACCAACTGAAAATGCACTTGGGATTAAATCCATAGATCATAAGCCCTAGCAGGTTATTAAGGGAAAGCAAGATACTTGGTGCACGTGCCTGACCTTTCACAGTTGACCTCCAGATGAACTAACCAGCCCTTCTTTTAGAGCCATGGCCAAGAGGGAGATGAGGAAATGGAAAGTAGGGCAAGAGTCACCAAAAAGGCCACCTGCGTATGTTAAAGAATAGTAGAGGTGATGGTGATGGTGGGCAGTGGGGCAGTGTTAAGGATGGATTTATGTGCAGGAATATTCAGTCTTTTCTAATAGCAATTGAAGGTGCCATTTCCTTCTCCCTGCTCAGGCTCCCTAAGGTCTTGCTTTGACACTGGCCACAAGGGCCTCCCACAGCACAAAGCTTGGGGCTCTAGCCTCAGGAGAGTAATGCTCCCCACAAACCATCCCTCAGCACCAGTCCCAGCCTGGAGGAACCCAAAGGCAGCCATGGCCTTTCTTTTGCTCAGATGAATCCAGTTTGCACTACAAATGCAAATGTGGAAACTGAGGAAAAGCAAGGCTTCCAGAAGGCTTTTGCCTTCTGACAAAAGAACCACAGTCTCTGGTTCTGTCCTGTCCCTAAAATATCTCTCTAAGGGAAGCCTCATTTGAAGATGGAAAAAGTCCCCCTGAATCCCCCAGACCTGTAACAAACACAGCCCAGATGGGGAAAATCTGCCCTTCAGAGTAAACAGGCAAAGCTCTCCATTCTTTGGGATCCTTTCCGTCACAGTTTACTCAATGCAAATTTCCAAATGACTTATTGCAGATTCATGAACAATGGAGGAGGCTGGTCTGTATTATATCTTTTCTGCAGACAGGAGAGATAGAAAGAAGGGAAGGGACCATGAGGTTAAGCTACAAGTCCAAAGTCACTGTGTTGCTGACGCCTGGCACTTAATAAGAGTACTTCCCTGAAAGTGCAACATGCTTACTGTGAAGGGCACTGTTTTCTGAAATTATCTTTAAGGATGGGGGGTTTTCAAATAATGAAGGTTGAAGATGGAGGAAGGGTGAGTCCTGAGCTCTTAAATGAAAACCGTAATAGCTATACATCTTTCCATCCTCCACCCCGAAATGGCAACCGCAGCCTCCTTCCTACCTCTCCCCTCAGGGCCCAAAAACGTGAAGAGCAGCAGAAAACCTTTCCTTCTGCCCAGTGAGTCAGCCTTGCCTAACTTCATGCGTAAGCTCTCCTCAAGTCAGCGGCAGCTCAGAACTGCGGGTCTGTGTGCAGCCGAGATAAATTTGGGTCTAGAAGGGATGACGTAATGCTAAACCCGAGAGGTAGCTGCCGCCTCCCAGGGCTCCAGTCGCCAGGGCTGCCGGCTGACATCCCAACCACACGGAAAAGCACCAAGCCACCCAGGTGCCTGAACTGGGGAGACAGGGAAAGAAAGGACATGGGGGTGGGAGGAAACGGTAGGGGGAGGCAGTGCTCATCTGAGATCGCTGAATCTGGAAGTTTGTTGTTTTTTAACTTCAGTTTTCTGGTGAGATCAGGCCACTGGCAGAGGCTCAAACAGCTGCACTTGACTTCCATCCTGGCCTATCTCTTCCCCCTTAGAAAAGGGCTTTTTACAATTTTATTAAATGGCCCTTATTACA